CCCGCCCGGTCTGCGGCTATAAGGAACGCCGAGGGCGGGGGCACCATCACGTGACCCGCCGGCCGCCCTCCGAGCCAATCGCAGGCCGCGTTCCCTCGTCCCGCGAGCGGAGCCACGCCCCGCGGGAGGCTGGCGAGGGGGCGTGGCCGGAGGAGAGAGGGGCGGGGCGGGCGGCCTGAGCGGGGCGAAGACCCGCAGGAGGGAGGGCAGGTCAGGTACTGCTCTAGGTGCTCTGGGGAGAGCCTTCCACCCTGAGGGAGGGGAGGGGGAAACTCAAGAGTACAGCAGTGGGATATAAGACACCTCAGCTATGAATATGCATCCTGGCCCTGCCAGAGCCTCGGAGAGGGGTACAGGCCTGTCTGGTGCAATCAGCCCCTCGGCTGGAGTCACCTGAACTGAAGCTGTAGGGAATGAAACACGCGTGCATTGCCTGGTGCTCATCCTGGCTGTTACAATGTGGCATAGGCAATCTATTCACTCCATATTCAAAAGTCTTCCTGTAGCTTAAAACTGGATACAAAGTCTCTGACTGCTTTCTCACTCCCATAATTTGTTGTATTTTATAAAAGATGTTGTACTAAACCAAATATAATCACGTACCCATTTTATTGTCATCACTCCTATCTAAATACAATATAATCTGCAAAACCGGGCAAGAAAATTAGCATGGTTAAGCCACAGGAAGTGATATACAACACTAATTTTACATATGATACAGACTACAACTCTCTATTAATTATGCATAAGGGATGCTGTTAAATTTGTTAGAGGACACTTTACAAGTATGTTCCTGCAAATATTTGCACATTTAATCTTTTATTTATGCTAATAGTATCTTCTATGATTAGTGAGTAAATATTTGTAGAAATAAGGACACATTCCTTGCAATCAAGGCCTCATAGCTAGCTTAGAGCAACTATCAACATTTTTTTTCCAGGCAATATGATGGAGCTACTAGAAATTAGGATAATCAAAGAGAGAAGTAGGGTGGAAGCAAGAACAGATAGCCTGGGAGGAATACAGAGAAACTGTCCAAGCAGCCAGGGATCTGGTTAGGAAGGCCAAAACCCTGACAGAATTAAATCTGGCCAGGGACGTCAAGGACAACAAGAAAAACTTCTGTGGGTATGTCAGGGATAAAAGGAAGACTAGGGAAAATGTGGGCCCTCTCCAGAAGGAAATGGGAAACCCGGTTACCTGGGATATGGAGAAGATTGAGGTACTCAACAACTTTTTTGCCTCAGTCTTCACTGGCAAGTGCTCCAGCCACACCATCCAAGATGCAGGGACTGCAGGCAAAGGCAGGGACTGGGAGAATGAAGAACCGCCCACCATAGGAGAAGATCAGGTTCAAGAACATCTATGGAACCTGAAGGTGCACAAGTCCATGGGACCTGATGAGATGCATCCCTGAGGGAACTGGCAGATGAAGTGGCTAAGCCACTGTCCATCATATATGAGAAGCTGTGGCAGTCCAGTGAAGTTCCTGCTGACTGGAAAAGGGGAAACATAACCCTCATTTTTAAAAAGTGAAGAAGGGGAGACCTGAGGAACTACAGGCCAGTCAGTCCCACTTCTGTGCCCAGCAAGATAATGGAGTGGATCCTCTTGGAAACTGTGTTAGGGCACATGGAAAATAAGGAGGTGATTGGTGACAGCCAATATGTCTTCATTAAGGGCAAACTGTGCCTAACAAATTTGTTGGCCTTCTATAAATGTATCCTGGGCTGCATCAAGAGAAGTGTGGCCAGCAGGTTGAGGGAGGTGATCCTCATCTTCTACTCCACTCTTGTGAGACCTCACCTGGAGTGCTGTGTCCAGCTCTGGGGCCCCCAGATGATGGTTGGGGTTGTTCAGCCTGGAGAAGAGAAGGCTCCAGAGACCACATAGCAGCCTTCCAGTACTTAAAGGGGGCTACAGGAAAGTTGGGGAGGGACCCTTTATCAGGGAGTGTAGTGATAGGGTGAGGAGTAACAGTTTTAAATTGAAGAAAGTAGAATTAGATTAGATATAAGGAAGAAATTCTTTCCTGTGAGGGTGGTGAGACACTGGCACAGGTTGCTCATAGAAGTTCTGGCTGCCCCCTCCCTGGCAGTGTTCAAGGCCAGGTTGGACGGGGCTTTGAGCAACCTGGCCTGGTGGAAGGTGTCTCTGCCCATGGTAGGGGGGTTGGAACTAGATGATCTTTAGGGTCCCTTCCAACCCAGATCATTGTATGACCTATGATTCTCTGATTTCAGACAATTTATCAAGATCAAAGTATTTATTTAGCATGCCACTCTGTCAGTCTTCTGTTGGGAAATAAACTGTATGGCACGAGAATATCTTAAGGTGAATGTCATGGTCCAATGAAAGAAAGAAGAAAAGAAAGACAGGACATGAAAAATGATGAATTAGGAAATCTTTAAACAAGGATAAGGAAATAAAGCTGATCTCTCTTGCATAAACTTGTTCAGTCTCCCATTGATCCATTTAACCTTTCATTGCCCACAATATCATTTGGCAAGTATTTATAAAGCTCAAATAGCCACTGTCTGAAGAACCCTCTCCTTTTTGTATTTCTTTTGAACCCAATTCCTATAGCTTCACTTGACATCCCCAGTCCTTGTACTGGAAGACGCCACAAACAATTCGGTCTCATCTAGGCCACTGTTACACAGATTCCCCTCCAGTTCTCTCCCCCAGGTCTACTTAGCCATCCCTTATGTGAATGGTGTTCCATCTTTCTGTGCTTTTGTGAACTGTACACTGTTTGATTTGCCTTTTTAACCACCACTGAATGTCAGGCTGCCATTCTTGTGGAAATGTCTGTCATAACTCTGAGACCTTACTCTTGGATGATGGTCAGTTCAAAGTCTGTCATTCAGTATATGAAATTAAGATTTTTTTTCTATGTATGTTCTTTTACATTTATCTATACTGAATTTCCTTGACTGCTGTATTCACCACTTACTCAATTCCATAGTGCCCTTCTGCAGCTTTTCAGTAAGCTCCATTCTATTACCTTGAATAATATAGTGTCATCAGCAAGCTATCACCTCAGTAATCTTCGTCTTCTATCAAGAAAATGAAAATAACATGTGCAGAAATGTCTATCTAAATTACTATTGTTCTCTTACGGTACAAAAAAAAAACCCCAAACTCTTCATGCTTTTAATTTAATTCTTGTTGATTGTAGAAGAAAATCTGAAATTTCCATAATTCCAAAACACTAGCAGATATGCTAAACTCTGGTCAAATATACACATAAATCTTACCAGCATTAAATCTCCTTTCAGAAAGATCTGGATACAGGTAATGTATACATAAACACAATATAAAAACCTTCCTATGTTTGTGTTTTATGTATTGTTATATAGCAATATAAATATGCAATATAAAAGCCATTCTCCAAAACATTTAAATTATATGCATGCATAGGTTTATAAAGGCAAAAAAAGGCAATGTGTATATTTTATGACTGATACAATTTTTGTAATACTGTTTTCAGGTGAAACTTTCTCAAATATTATCTTTTCAATATTCAGTTTTAAAAAGTTTTCAGGTGGGTTTACAGTTCAGAAGTGGAATAACTGCCTTTGAAAATGTTGATGATTGGAAAGGGCTGAGGTAATGGGAGATGGTTCTGATGTGACAGTTCTGTTTGTTTTTCCTTTTAATTTGTTCCTTGCTGGAGGCATATGATCTGGATGTTTTTTACAAAGCTGCCACTCCTTCAATTAATCCAGCTGAAGAACATGACCTATTATGAACCACTGTGTCTCAGAGTTTTCCTTCAGTTCAGCCGCTTCAGTTTGAATGGTCTGTAAAGAATCCCTTCACCATGTCAGAATGAACACTGAGATCTGATTATTAGAAGCTTATTCATAGTCCATAGTCTTAACTGTGGGAAACTAGTATAATTATATAAAAATCTCACTAAAAGTTTTCAAGTTACTTTATTTTAATAATTCCCATTTTTTTGGCTGAAGGTTAAATTTATATAGGGGTTATGGCATTTTTACATGCAAAAATCTGTTGGAGAACAGCTTGCAGAGAGCAAGGCCATAGCTCCCTGCAGGAGCTGGTCACAGCCACCTGAGGTAAACAGAGGAAAAAACCCAGGGTACAGTTATGATAACAAGGAGGGAGATTCAGGGCTCAGTGATGCTAACAAGGACTGTTATGATAACAAAGAGAGAAGTTGTGGCACATTATGTCCTTGGGGGTGATTGAAAAACAGCCCTGGGAAAGAAGCAGGCCCGAAGAAGGAAGATGTTGTGACATGCCTGAGATGCCACAAGGGGCTGGGATATTACAATGTAGCCTTTTTACATGTATCCAATAGATTTGTGAGTAGTATGCATGATTATTGTAGAGTGCTTATATAAGGTGTGATTTCTTTCAATAAAGTTGAAGCTTGCTCTATCATTCACATTGAATCGGCTGCTTGCTTCCTCCACCCGCCGCAAAAATCTGTCAAACTAATGTTAGCAGAATATGTGTTTCTTCAGACTGAGTGCAATATAATGCATTTCAGCTTGTTTGTTTCATAAAAAATAAAACTCTCTGTCATGATTGACTGTTTGCACTTCAAGTGAGCCTAAGCAAACACGCCGATGTTCCCATAGAGCTCAGCCAATTTGTTAGATTATTCATGGCAGTAGAGAATGCGTACTTTTTAGAGCTTTTATACTCCATTGCTATTGATAAATATTATTAGTTTTTATAGCAAATGA